GCCAATAAAATGATTAAATAAATAAATTCAAAAAAGAACTCACTCTGAAGGCTGGTTTGTGATCCGAGGAAGTTTTATAAAGGATGGAAGAAGTTTCCAGCTTTACACAGGCGCCCTCAGGGCACTTCACAGGGCACTCCACTTCTGGAGACCTGAGGCCAGAGGACACCTTCATACTGCCAGCCGAGGAGCAGTTTGAGCACACGCACACAAAAAAGCGGCCACTGGCTTGGGATTCTGGGTTTTCAGGGCCCCTGTTCGGAGGTGTGGTTGAGCGTACTGGTTGACCTCATTGCCTGAATTAAGCTCACCTGGCCCAGATTGGGGCCCACCCAGGTGTACCGCCCCTTCCTGACTCGGAGCCTGAATTTTTGAGCATGCCCAGTGGAAACCCTGGTCCCTGTTCTACCTAATAGTATCAGGACTTAAATTGTGAACACCTGACTTGTGGAAAGCAATGAATGACAGTGGAAACCCAAAATCCATTTGCAGGGTCCCCACATGGAGTCAGCCTCTGAGGAATCCCCTTTGACCATAGTTGAGGGATGTGAATAGCTTTGCTATCAGACAAAGTATCATTCTCGATTATGGCAAATGTAATTAGGTTAACATGAGATACCTGATCATTTGCTCTCCCTTTTGACCTCACTTTAAATCCTGCTTTTTTCTTGGAGTTTTCTTTTGTTACTATTTTGGGTCTTTTGGGGGGGCTGTTTGTTGTTTGTTTTCCAGTATAGGAAGTCTGGGATGGGTGAGGCTATAGAGAACAGTAACAGGATTCGGGGCTTATTGGGGGTACGGTGGAGAGGTTGGAGAGGTATGGGAGTTAATAACGAATACGAGAGGGAGGAACTGTTTTGGAACTGATTGTGGTGATGTTTGTACAACTCTTTCAATATGACTGAACTATGGGAGTTTATGATGTCAATAAAACTTTTTTTTTTAATTGGAGTGAAAATACCCTCTCCAGGGGCACTTGGAAGGGGAGCTGGAACATCACACCGTCTGTGAGTACTACTTGGTAAACTCATGATAAAGCACAGGGTCCCCCCGGGCAGCAGTGGAAGGCAGCAAGTCAGGCGTTTCCACTTCCTTGGGAAGCTGGGTGCCTGGGACAGCCAGAGCTAAGCATGGTGGCCAGGCCTCAGCCCACAAGCCGACCTCTGATGACCTCTGGCAGGTGCACCTGGGCCTCGCTTCTACTGTGCACACCTGTAGCTCCCACTCTGCATCACTTCAGCTGAGCCTCCCAAGCCTGGCACAGGGGCATGTGGAGTCAGCCTACCCAGATGAGATCATGAGTCCCACAGACAGAGATGGGTGTGCCAGGGCCACTAGGCTGGCCAGGACAGAGGCTTGAGCTACAGAGGAGGTGGAGGGTTGGGAAAGTTGGGGGCCAGGTGGGATGGTCTCTACATGCCATAAAGCAGGTCACATGACTTGCCAAGTCCATTTCTGACCATTCTAGGTAGAAATCAGCCTCAATTTATTTATTTTGCCCTCGCCCCCACTGGTTCTCAACCTTCCTAATGCCGTGACCCTTTAATACAGTTCCTTATATTGTGGTGACCCCCCTCAACCCATAAAATTATTTTCGTTGAAAAAATGAGCTGATAGCAAGGGTTCAAGTAGAAAGAAAATGTTTTGAGAATGATGACGGCAACAAATGTCCAAATGTGCTTGATACAATGGATGTATGTGTGGATTGTGATAAGAGTTGTATGAGCCCCCAATAAAATGATTTTTTAAAATTATTTTCGTTGCTACTTCATAACTAATTTTGCTACTGTTATGAATCGAGCGACCTCTGTGAAAGGTTCGTTCGACCCCCAGGTTGATGACTGCTGCTCTAATTGAACAGAATTCCATCTGCCCCTCGTCCAGAATCTACCCCCAGCCCTGCTGCTGCCCTGCCTTCCCAGCTTGGGCCTCCGTATCTTCCCCTGGCTCTCTGCTCCTCCCACCACCACACCCCCCAGCGCTTCATAGGGCTACCTCTGCATCCATCAGATCGGGGTGGGGCCGCTTGGCCCAGTGGGTACCATCAGAGCATTTCGTAGCTGGCTTCCATACTGGCTTATTCATTGCCCCCCACCTTCCCAGTGGGGACATCATCGGTTCGCAGCATCCCGAGTGAATGGGGCCATGTACCTGTACCAAGTTGTGAACTAAGGAGTAACTGAATGATCTCAATTATCTCCCTTGTGAGTCAGCCCTCCCTCATCTGCCGCTGGGAACTTGTCCCTCCAGAATGCCACCTCCCTCCCACCCCCCAGGGAACCGACAGCCAGGGGACTGTTTGCTATGGTTGCGGTAACATTTATTCTGAGAACAGAACAAGGTGGAGTGGGGACTGTTGGTCCCATGAGCTGGAGGGTACAGGTATATCAGGCAAATAGCAGTGGTGCTCCCCGGCCACCCTCCAGTTCCAGCCTGGTCATCAGGGGGCAGGAAGCAAGGGCAAGGCTGCAGAACTGACTGGGGAGCGGACAGGGCCCAGCCATTAGGTGGAAGCCCACACAGCTCTGCCAATTGGTCCTAGTGGCCCCAGCTCACCAAGACCCCAGCTCCATCCCCAAAGGCCCCGGGCTGCTTTCATTGGCCTCACTCCCCCATGCCCTGTCCTCTCTGCAGAGCCCTCGTGTCAAACAGTGAGCAACGGAGCGTTCCTAGATGCATGTACAGCATGTGCACGCACGGAGATACACAGAGAGAGGGGTAGTGTTTTGCCACTTGTAAGAGTGCTTGATAAGCAAGAATCCTTGGCCCCACTTTGCAGAAGGGGGAAACTGAGGCACAGGAGGTCACGCTCAGAGGGCTGGCTTTGAGCTCTGGTTCTGGGTGAAGCCCTGGGTCTCAAGAAGGAATCTGCCTCTTGGCTTTTAGTTCCTGGCCCCTGGCGAGGCCCAGAGCTGACCACGGAGTGAGGAGACCCAGTCAGAGTAACCAGCCTGTCCAGGCAGCATGCTGGACCTCCCACGAGACCCAGGGGTGAAAAACATGAGTCCCCAAAGGACTTGCTGGGCAAGACCACAAGAGGGCGTGCTGGGAGCCAGTGGACTTTCTCATTGGCTGTACCTGCCATGGGCCGAGGCCACGCAGGGCTCCCCTGTCAGCGAGGAAACACCAGGAGCTGCTGGCCAAGTACACAAGTCCCCAGAACACACCTCCTCGGGCCATCGCCAGACCTGCTCTGAGGGCAGGACTGCCCCCGGCCCCTCCCTGCAACCAGAGGGCCAGAAGGTGGGAATTCAAGGACAGGAAAAGGGTTCAGGCTTTTAGTTTTCCCTGAAAAACCCCTGGCTGAAATTGAGATTTTTTAAATGGACAGGATAGAAAATGTTCAGAACCGAAAGGAACCCTTTGGTTCAGGCAGCGGGGACGGGGGGTGGGGGTGGCGAGGGACATTACAGCCTCTGTGGCTGGGTGTAGGGGGAATGTTGGCTGAGGGGTCTACAGTCACGTGATCCTGGATGGCCTGAGAACACCCACCTGAGAGTCCCCTTGCCCAAGAAAAGCCTGGGTCTCAGCACACGGGACCATGGGAGCACGTCCCGCCTTGGGTCCCCCCCATCCTCCATGGTCCTGGCCCCTCCCCAGGAAACCACGTGTCTCTCGGGCATCGGTCCTCACTCCACTGCCACCACCTCTAGTGTGTGTGGGGGTGTCACCCGAGGCTGGGAGCCAGCACCACGTTGGGGCTTCCTCATGGCATCATTTATTCCTTTGGCAAAGCTCTGTGGACTGAATCAGTGGGCGGTTGGGCACGGAGGTTCAGAGCATGAAAACGACATCACCCTCACGCGAATCCCAGCAGGGGGGGTGGGGTGTGGGGGTGGCAGCAGCCACCCAGCCACTGCCAAGAGCCCTTTCCAAGAGGCTAGAAAACAGTGGAGGTGGGAGACCGGGGTAGGCCCAGGCACCAGGGGCCAGAGTGGGGCTCGGGGACGTGGCAGTTTGTGTGTAAACAAGTGACGTCTTGGCACTCTGTCGGCAGACAGCAGGGCACGGGAAGATGCTCTCCATGGATGCAGCCCCTTAGCAGAGGGGCCGGTTGGGGGTGGTGAGGACCATTTAAATCTCAGGCCGGAAGGCCCTCCATGAATCCCGCGGGAGGGAGGGAGGAAGGCAGGGCCCTCCCCACATCACACGGTAAGTCAAAGGGGGAGCCAGGGCCTGGGCGCCCCGGCTAGTCACTAGCCTCGGGGGACATGCAGCAGGTGGGCGGGCAGCGGCGGTTCTCAGATGGCCGTGAGCGAGGCACTGCTGAGCACACGCACCGCAATGGTGCCAGGCAGGTCACTGGGCTGGTGGCTGCTGCGGTCTCGGAGGTGGAGGGTGTGCAAGGCCTGCAGGTCTTCGGGGTCGGCCTTCAGGTGCACCTGGCCCAGAAACTCATCCTTCAGGGCTCGGTGATTCCAGATCTGGAAGGAAGCCGAAGACTGTGGAAGCGGCCACTTCAGGCCCAAGCCCTGTGTCTGGGAGGGGTATGGCAGGACCCTGCACCTGCTCCCCACAGAGCCAGCTTGGCAGAGGAAAGGGAGGTCCCCAGCTTGCCTTAGGGCCTTGGCCGTCCTGCTCCTGACCTTGGTGGCCCTTGAGCACAGGATGCCCCATGTGTAGTGAGGATGGGATCCCAGGGTGTTAAGAAAATGAGGCCACCCTACAAGGGCTCCTGGAGTGGGAGTAGCCAGATGGATTCCCCAGAGAGAAGCTGGCCCGGAACCAGGAAACTGAGGCCCCCCCACTGGTGAGCTCAGGTCCCTGTCTGCATGCAGCCTACCAGGCTCCCTGCTCCAGAGATTCGAGGGTGGCAGCCAACCACAGCTGCCTCGGGGGTAGCTGTCCTACACAGGCCCCTCCAGGGCATCGGAGGGACAAGTGCCGAGGACACTGGCTCGGCTGGGGCTCCAGAGAGTGGGGGGCCCAACTCACCCACCTCGCCAGTGGAACAGGCAAGAGAATTCCCAAGGCATGAGTCGGGGGTGGCGGCGGCAGAACTGGAACTGGAACCCAAGTCCTGGGTCCTCCAAAGGCCCCGCCCCCCAGTGGGGCCGGCTCGGGCTGGGGTCCAGGAGGGGTGCACCAACAGGTGGGCTCACCTGGACGGTGACGGGCTGGCCCGGCTTCTTGCGGTAGAAGACACCCTTCACGTCATACTCGGGCGTCGAGGTGCCTTTCTGCACAGCCGATTGGACCTTGGCCCCCTCGCATTTGATGATTACATAAGAGTTCGCCCCTAGAGGAGGGAGTGGGCAACTCGGTGAGGGTGGCTGGAGCAGGGCCCCCAGAGGACAGGTATGTGGGCGGCAAGATGCCCCTCTGGGCTTCAGGAGACCAGAGGCTGTCCCCTCCCAAGGGCTCCTACCTCCCAGAGACAGGGAGACTGCAGGCCAAACCGACTAGTCATCTCTAGTTTCCAGGTGTTTGTCCATACAGCCTTCCCTTCCCCTCCTCAGCCTGGAATTGGTCACCACCTCCAGGGAGCCTCCCCTGAGCCCTCATCTCAGGTGCCTGGTCGTAGCTGACCCCTCCACGGCCCTACTCCCCCCACCCCTCCCCGCGTGGAGCTCCCTGAGACCAGGACCTCAAGCATCAACTGGTGAGTGCTGGATCTCAGGAGGACAAGAGGGCCCGGGCCCAAGGAGGGGGGGGGGGGCTTTCTGCACCTGGGCCAGTGTAAGCTCACCTGTCGGGGAGTTCTTCAGGCCAGCAGCCCCCAGGACGTGCACCTGGGTCACCAGCTGGGGGTAGCCGCACAGGGAGCTCCAGCAGGAGTGGGGCGGGGCGTCCAGGCACAGCTCCCTGGATGACCGGGGGTGGGGGGTGTTGGAGAGGGTGGTAAGGAGGGGCTCCATGTGGGGTAGAGAGAAGACCAACGTTTTGTCCTGAGATCTCACATCCACAGGTGGACCCTGACCACAGAAGACCCTGAGGGCTGCCAACTGCTCCTTCCTTAACTGAGCACCCCTCATGATCCCCCAAGGGAAACGCACCCTACTAGTTAGTACATCCTCTGCGCTGAGCCCCCCTGGGGCTGGACGTGGACAGGTGGGTTTCTAATCTCCACAGCCCAGGAGCAAATAAGCCCTTGAACAAGCCCCCTTTACAGATGAGGAAGCATGAGGCTCAGCCAGGGAAGGGTTTTGCCTTTACACCACAAACTTTCTCCCAGGTCTGGTGGAAAGCAGGGCCCACCCTGCCCTTCCGGGGACATGGGATGGGGACTGCACAGGGGCTGGGGTGGGGCTGGTTTCAGCAGCTACCCACAGGGCAGAGTGTGTGGAATCAGGCGGGGTACAGCCAGCTGCATGGCCTCAGTTCACTGTTAGTGGACCCTGAATGTGGATCTGTAAACTGGGGGGCTGGGCCTGCCCCTCAAGGGTGCAGGGAAGAGGACACAAAAGGAGGAAAAAGCTTCTCCCCCAAGTGCTATGTCCAACACACACAGAAAGGGGCCCTGGTGCCCTAGTGGGTTGCTCCCTGGGCTGTTAACCACAAAGTCAGCAGTTCGAAATCACCAGCTGCTCTGTGGGTGAAAGACAAGGCTTTCTACTCCTATAAAGAGTTACAGTCTTGGAAACTCATAGGCGCACTTCTACCCTGTCCTACGGGGTCACTGTGAGTCAGGATCTACTCCGTGGCAGTGCGTTCGGGGGTTTTTGTTGTTGTTGTTTGGTTTTTAACGCACACAGAAGCAGCTGGTCCTGGCCAAGGCAGGCTGGGAGTGGGCCTGGGGAAGGGAGGGGAATGAGATGACCAGGTGTCTGCCCAGGAGGCTGGAAGCCTGGCCTGGTCAGAGAGCCCTGGGCAGACCCTAACCATCTCCGGGTGAGAGTCCGGGCCCGCCCTCATGGCCGCAGCCTCCCACCCCTGGTCCCAAGGCATCCCCTCGCACCGGCAGTTGGCGGGCACATCAGTGAAGACCCGGAGCAGGAACTCGCCCGTGTGGCCAGGGTCGAAGGTGGTGGGAATGATGACGTAGTGGCCCTCGGGCTGGTCAGTGCGCAGGAAGACGCTGCGCGAGTTGATGTAGATGGAGCTGGCGGCCTTGTGCTGCAGGCTGTGCATCCGGTACTGGCGATTCTCCTCCACCTGCAGCGGGAGCGGAGGGCTGGGCTGCATGTACCGGCTCGGCTTCAGCCCAGCCCACTCCTCACTCTCACCACCCAGCCTAGAGTATCAGGTCCACTTACACGGCAAGCTCAGAATAGGCCACTTTATCAATGTGACAAGGAGATTAGTGGTTGCCTCGGGCTAAGAGCACGCTCCCTGCCACCCAGGCAATGCTGACTGCTAGCAAACCTTTGGGTTCCTGAGCCTGTCACTGTTGACCAGGGCTCAGCCCTGGTGGGGTAGTGGTTACTTGCCGGGCTGCCATCTGCATGGTTTGGAGTTCAAAACCACCAGCTGCTCCATAGAAGAGAGATTGGGCTTTCTACTCCTGTAGACAGTGACAGTCATGGAAACCCACAGGGCGCTGTGATGAGTCAGCATTGACTTGATGGCCGTGAACAAGGGAGAATGGCTGTGACCTTGGAGGGTCCAAGGTTTCTTTGGAAGTGATTTAAAAGACGGCCACCATGAAGTCAATGCTGACTTAGAGCAGCCCTACAAGACAAAGTATAACTGCTTCTTAGGGTTTCTGCGACTAAATCTTTACAGCAGCAGACAGCCTCGTCTTTCTCCCCGGGGAGTGGTTACTGGGTTTGAACTGTCCACCTTGCGGTGAGCGGTCTCATCATACTCAGCACACACTTTCACTGTAGTGATGGTCGCACGTCTCTGTGAATGTATGAGGGGCTTGAATCGTTTAGCGTTCTTTCAACTCCACTGCCCATGAACTTCTCACAGCCACAGAGTCGTGCACACTAAAACGCACAGGCTATGTGGCGTGAGCATTATGTTTCAGTGAAGTCGGCTTAACAGAGAGGATGGCATCCCATAGGTCCTGAGTGTCACAACCAAGAGTCGTGATCTGTCCGAGTCACAGCACATATTCACGAAAGGGCATCGCTGCCATCTGGACGGGCTAGATGGTGCAAAGACAAGCTACAGTCGCCTTACTGAAGGTCATGAAATGTCAAAGTCACAGCCAAGTGTCACGGCCCATCAGCATGCAATGAGCGTCGCAGCAGGGAGGGGAACAGCTTGGCGGCACATGATGTTCCGTCCTCACGTGTCGGACACTCAATTCAGGCAGCCTCAAGCACATCCAGGCCGAGTGGATGCCCACTCAGAGCGACCCTACAGGACAGGGCAGAACTGCCCCTGTGGGTTTCCGAGACTGCAACTCTTGACAGAAAGAGAAAGCTCCATCTTTCTCTCGCAGAGAGGCTGGGGGTTTCGAACCGCTGACTTTGCAGTTAGCAGCACAATGTGTAACCAATGTGCTCCCGGGGTTCTTTGAGTGTGTCCCCAGGGCTTCATTAAATAGCTGGAGTCCTGGGAGTACCTGTCACCGGTTTGCCAGGTCTTCAGCATACCTGTGGAAGGCCTCACTCAGTTCCAGGCCCGAGGGAGCAGGCACGGGTGAACCCATCTGGGTCTGCTAAGGGGTGCCCTGGGTTCATGCCCAGCAAGGCCAGTGGGGCTTCCTGAGGATTGTGGAGCTTAGAGAGCCCTAG